GAGGCCAGCCTGGTCTACAGAGTGAGTTTCAGGACAGCTAGACCTGTTACACAGAGAACTCTATCTCGAAACCCCCTCCCCCCAAAAAAAGCTAGGTGTGTGCACACCTGTAATCTCAGTGTTGGAGGCAGAGGCAGGAGGATAGCCATAATAAGTTCAAGGCCAGAGAGGTCTATATACCAGGTTTAGATTGGCCAACCTATGTAATGAGACCCTGTTTCAAAAAATTCCTCCTCCCAAAAGATCTTAAAAGTATTTTTATGCTTGTATTCATATATCCATAGATCTTATCTCTGGTAGCTCCCCTCCCCTCCACCCAACTTTTTTTTTTCTGGGACAGTGTTTCTCTGTGTTTCTGTGTAGCCCTGGCTGTCCTAGAACTCACTCTGTAGACCAGGCTGGCCTCGAACTCAGAGATATGCCTGTTTCTGCCTTCCAAGTGCTGAAACTAAAGATGTGAACCACCGCTGCCTGGCAGCTTCCCTGTTTTTAATAATCCTTAGTCAGTTTTGTCTTACATCTAGAATAGACATAAGATTTCTTAGCCGGGCGGTGGTGGCACACGCCTGTAATCTCAGCACTGGGGAGGCAGAGGCAGGTGGATCTCTGTGAGTTCGAGGCCAGCCTGGTCTGGTCTACAGAGCTAGTCCAGGACAGGCTCCAAAGCGACAGAGAAACCCTGTATGGAAAAACAAAAAACAAAACAAAAAAGATATTTTTTAGTCGTGTGTGTGTGTGTGTGTGTGTGTGTGTGTGTGTGTGTGTAGACTGAACTTAGAACTTCAGAGCTTTTGAGATAAATATCCCAGCAGTTGGGACACTGAGGCAAGTGGATTGCCTTGACTGTATAGTGAGTTCTAAAAATACATGTCTGCCCAGAGCCTGTTAACACGAGCTTACTCCGAAGAAGCAACATTGCTGATAAGAGGGTCTTGAGAAGAAGAACCGTGTCCTTTTGTCCAGGGCTTGGCACCCGGAGAGTGCTGGATAAGAAGAGAAAGAGCTAGGAAGTCCACGGGGAAAGTGAACTAGCCACCTGCATGGGAGGCAAATCACTTCCCAATACTGTGGCGTGCGTGCTCACACTCTCCACACACCCCTCCTGTGTGAATGGCGATTCCTGAACTAGACTGAACTTGTCTTGCAAGGTTTGCGTCTTTATGAGAAGACTAGGAACATGGGTGGACATGACCCTGCGCCAGCATAGGAGGGATGGCGGGGTTCTAACTTTCATCAGTGAACACCCAGCCTCAGGCAAGGGAGTTCAGAGGTGACTCAGTTTCCCAAGTTATGAAAAGAAGAAAGTCCTGTGCCCATTTTGCCTGCTAGGGAGGATGGGGGCGGGGGCCACCTGTAAAATCTCCCCTGCCTTCTTTCTTTGGCTCTGTGGAACACCACTACAGTTCTGTCTCTCCTTCTGTTTCACTGGTAGGATTTTTCACTTACTCAGCAAAGCCAGTTCATAATAATGGCCTCCATTTTACAGATGGAGAAATTCTCTTTTTATAAAATAAACATTGTATTCACTCTTGCACAATCGTGTACGTATATAATACACTTTGATCATATTCCTCCCAACACCTTCTCCTGTCTTCCTGCCCCTTGAAATGAACCTCTTGAACCCAGTCTCTCTTGTACCCTTTTTTAAATTACATTATTATCTGTGTGTGTGTGTGTGTGTGTGTGTGTGTGTGTGTGTGTGTGTATATGTAAGAGAGAGAGTGGGAGTGCACATGCCACTGCATGCACGTGGAGGTCAGAAGACAATTCATGCGAGTTGGTTCTCACCTTGCAACATGTGGATTCCGGGGATTGAACTCAAGTCATCAGGCTTGGCAGCAAGCCCCTTTTCCCACCGAGCCCTGATGCTGACCCCAACTGAGTAGATTTTTGTTATCCATTTATAACTTTGCCACTTGCAAACTTGGGTTAAACCAGGATTTCTTTGTTTTTGTTTCTGTTTTTCTTTCTTTTTTTTTAATTTTGTTTGAAATTGTCTCACATATCCCAGGCTGGCTGTTAATGAATACACTGTGTAGCGGAGAATGACCTTGAATTTCTGATCCTCCTGCCTCTCCCCTCCCCTACAGGCCTACATCTCCACACTGGTTTTATGTACCACTGGGGACCTAAACTAGTACTTCCTACATGGTAGACAAACACTCTAACAACTGAGTCACATCCCCAGCCCCAAAGACAATCTTCTAAATCATGAGATTTAAACCACGACTACAAAGATGGACTGGGGTTGGGGATTTAGCTCAGTGGTAGAGTGCTTGCCCGGCAAGTGCAAGGCCCTGGGTTCGGTCCTCAGCTCTGAAAAAAAAAAAAAGAAGATGGATTACTTTGTCTTGGTAATAATCGTGAAAGTGACCCAGGACCAGTAAAACACAGTGAGTCTGGTTTGATTCGCACACATTTTCATCTGGCTCCTATCAGTCAGTTCACCAATCTAACCCACACTTGACCTCAGATGAGGGGTGGATGGGGGTGGAGAGAGTGATTCAAGTACTAGAGATAAGGACGCAAGAATGGAGCTGGTCACAATCCCAGCATTCAGGAGGCAGAGGCAGGTGGATCTCTGTGAGTTCAAGGCCAGCCTGGTCTACAGATGAGATCCAGGACAGCCAGGGCTACACAGAGAAACCCTGTCTTGAAAAACAAAACAAAAAGTGAGAACGCAGAGGACCACTAAAACTGGGTGAAGGGGAACATAGGGACTCTCTATCTATCTATCTACCTACCTACCTACCTACCTACCTATCTATCTATCTATCTATCTATCTATCTATCTATCTACCTACCTATCTATCTAAGACAGGGTTGGAACTCACCAAGATCTGTCTGCTCCAGTCTCCCCAGTGCTGAGTCATTATACTTTTTTTTGGGAGGGGGGGTTCAAGACAAGGTTTCTCTGTGTAACTTTGTGCCTTTGCTAGAACTCACTCTGTAGCCCAGGCTGGCCTCGAACTCACAGAGATCCGCCTGACTCTGCTTCCCAAGTGCTGGGATTAAAGGTGTGCCTGCCACCGCCGCCATGGCGCCACCGCCACCGCCACCACCATCCGGCTCATTATATTCTTTATTTCACAGAAGTTTGAATTTTTCCAAAATAAGACTAGTCTAGCAAGTTGCTACATGACTTTCAAAGAGACTCAAAACTGTCTTCCACACATGAATTTCTTTCTTTGACAGAGTCTCAGCTCTGGCTGTCCTGGAACTCACTCTGTAGACCAAGCTGGCTTCAAATTCAGAGATCCCCCTGCCTCTACCTCTGCATCCGAAGTCCTGGGATCTACGGTGTGCATACCATGCCTGGGCTATGAGTAATGTCCTTAAGAGGAAGTCATAAACTAAAAATAGCTAGCTTTCTACCCCATTGTCTTACAAACACATGATATTGAAAGAAATAGATTATTTAGGAACTGGAAAATGTTTAGAGCATGACGTTTTGCTCCTTCTTCAAATTATTTTTTTATTTGCTTTAAGACAGGAGTCTCTGTATGTTCCCAGGCTGGCCTCAGACTTGCAGATTCAAGGGCTCCACTTACCTCAGCAGCTATAACCACAGGCACAGACCACTGCATCCCAAAGTTGATTGACTTTCAGCACTTCATAAGAGCTTTTTGTGTAGATGGGTGTGGTGGCTCATACCTGTAATCTCAGTGCTCAGGAGGCTGAGGCAGGAGAAGGGCTGTGAGTTCGAGGCCAGCCTGGGCCACAGCCTAAGATTCTATTTCTGATAACAGTTTAGGGATTGTTGAGATGGCTCAGGTGGTTGGAGCACTTAGCATGGAGCCTGAAGACCTGAGTTTTGATGGCTAGGAGGCACAGGACAGGAGAGAAGTGATTCCCACAAGTCATCCTCTGACCTCCACAAGTGCCCTGTGTCTTGAGTGTGTCCCACCCCCCCCCAACAGATCAGTAAGTAAGTAAATAAATAATGTAGTTAAAAAAAAAAAAAAAGACGAGGCTGGAAAGACGTTTTGGTGGGTTGAGGTGCCGCGGCTGTATCTGCCTGCCTGCCTGCCCATGTTCCATCCCTAGTGTACACTCTCTGTGAGTTCGAGGCCAGCCTGGTCTGCAGAGGGCAGCGAGAGAACCCTGTTTCACTGCCCCCGTCCCCCTCCACAAGCTGAACGACGGCAATTGGAATTCAATAAACCTTATCAGTGGTGCGTCCTAGTCCCAGCCTGTGTGCTACGCCTCTCCTGGAAGAGACCAGAGGTCCTCACAATGTGCGAATGTGGGAATCTGGAACATTCGGAGAACGGGGTAAGCCCCGAGGCCCTGCTCGGCAGGTCCCGAACACAAAGCCTCCTAAACCAACCGCTTTTCCCACGTCACCGCAGTCCTTTCCGTCTTCCGGAAGGGAACCTAGGCACTCAAACGTGGGAAGCCAATTCCGCCCCAGCGGAGCCGCTTCGTCGGGCCCCGCCCAGCCCTAGCCCCTCTCCGCTCTCGGGGCTGCGCCCGAGGCCCCGCCCCTTCCCTGCAATCTCATTGGCTCTGGTGACCGGCCCCCCGAAGCACTGCTTCGGATTGGTGGGCTCGGCCGGCCGCTCGGCGTCTTCCGGGGGCGTGAGCCGAGCGTGGCCACGCCCCCGACGTCGGGACGCTCAGTCGGCCTCGGGAGGCGCAGCCTCCGCCGCCGCCGTAGAAGGAAGGAGAGGTCCGTTGTGCGAGCAGGCTGCTATGGTGCTGAGTTCCCGGGTCGAGCCGACCGAGCCGAGGCGGTCGCGGCCATGAAGGTGAGGGGCTGGGGGAGCCGGGAGGCCCTCCTCGCCTCTCCCGTGCGCCCGGAGCGCCTCCTTGGGCTCCGTCTCCGCGGTTGCCCGGCGGGTTCCCGAGAGACCACCACTGTCGGGGGGCGCCCCGACCGGTTCCAGCCGGAGAGGCCGGGCTAAGCGGACCCGCCCGAGCTCCTACAGCGCCCCCCGGCGGCCTGGCCGAGGAGGAGGCGAGTGGTCCTCTCCCCCCCCCCCCCCCTTCCCGAGGTCGCAGCCCGCTGGGCCCTGTGTCCCAGGCCCTGCGCCGTTTCTCGGGGTCCCGAGCTTTTCAGACCTCTAAGAGCTCTCCTCCGGCCTCGGTGCTTCTGCCCACGGACGTGCCCTCTGCCTCCCCGAGTCCTTGAACTAACCCAGGTGTCGGGGGGCATCCCGAGACAGAAGTCAGAGAGAGCGGTGCGGGGATTGATGAGGCCGGGGCCAGGGGAACCCGAGTACAAAAGCCAAGGGTTGGGGTCCCCCCACCCACCCAGGAGTTCTTCCGTGGGGTTTAAACGCTGTGGCCGTGACCTAGAGCGCTGGATGTGTTTGCATCGCCACTAGGTACGCAGCAAGTAATTTGGCAGCCTTTTCTCCCGGGTGGGAGTGAGAGCGTGGGCGTTATCACTGATAGAAGTTTCAAAAAAAAAAAAAAAAGGGGGAGAGGGTGTGTGCGTGATTCTGGCCTACTTTGGGGAGATGGTTTTTTTTTTTCCCCCCTCAACTTCATCACAGAGAGTTCTAAAGAGTCTGTGTGCAACAATCAATTTAGGTATTGATCCATTTGCCAAAAATCAAGCCAAGTGGCGTGAGTCAGAAGGTGGTGATGATACCTCTCCCGACGAGAGACGGTTGTATTCATCTCATTGAAGAAGTGTGTTGTTGGCTTTGGGCTGCTCCATGAACTCGACCTTCACAGAGTGTCAAAAGATTTACTGTGGACGATTGAAGAGTGTCAAGTGGCTAGAGGAAGTCAGCGAGTGTTTGCTCAGTTTCCTCTTTGTATTAGTCAAGAGGGAGTAAAAGTAATTCAGAATATAGTCCCCCTCTTTAGGAAAGAGTTTGCCGGTTAAAATAAAAGAGACAAGGTAGGCATGGCGGCACAGGCCTGTAATCAATGTTTGGGAGGCTGAGGCAGGAGGATTGAGGCCACCATTTGCTACAAGGCAAGTGCTTTTGTCAAAAAACAAAGAACAACAGCAAAAAACTCCAGATAGATCCCAAGTAGCCACATTACAGACCACAATAATATTAGGGGTTTTTTTTTTTTGTGTGTGTGTGTATGTAAATAGCTCTCAGAAGAAAGAAAAATAGTGATCCCCTTCATTGTTGCATACCTGTAATCTCAGCATTTGGGAGGTAGAGGCTGGAGTCAGGACAATGTAGAGTTCCCATCTAGTCTCGGCTTCATAGTAAGTGTGAGGCCAGCTTGTACTATATGAGATTCTGTTTCAAAACAACAAGCCTTCTTGCTACCGGAAGCAAGGGAGATTTTTTGGAATAGGTAACATCTTTTTTGAGACAGCGTCTTGCTGTGTGTCTCTTACTGGCCTGGAACTGAATATGTAGGCTGTCCTTGAACTGGTGAGTGATCCTCCTGAGTGCTTGGATTGCAAATGGTCTAGAATGGATGGCATTGGCACTAACTTTAAGGGTGAGGATATTGTGAGAGTTTTTTTTTTTTTTTTTTTTTTGGTTTTTCGAGACAGGGTTTCTCTGTGTAGCTTTGCGCCTTTCCTGGAACTCGCTTTGGAGACCAGGCTGGCCTCGAACTCACAGAGATCCGCCTGGCTCTGCCTCCCGAGTGCTGGGATTAAAGGCGTGCGCCACCACTGCCCGGCTATTGTGAGAGTTTTTAAAAAATTGTTTAAAATGTTTTTAGGATTGTGTGTATGAGTGTTTTGTCTGTATGTATTTATGTGTACCATCTGCATGCCTGGTGCTCACAGAGGTCAGAGGTGGCATTAGATCCCCTGAACTGGAGTTACCAGTGGTTGTCAGACACCTTGTAAGTGCTAGGAACCCAACCTACGACTTTTGTAGGAGCAATCAATGAGTTCTCTTAACTGCTAAGCCATCTCTCTAGCCCTTAAGGTTTTTGTTTTATGTTTTTAAATTTTGTTTTATAGGTATGAATGCACCATGAGGTCTGTGCACCCTGAGCATGCCTGATAACCATGGAGTCCAGTAGAGGGTGTCAGAGCTCCTGGAACTGGGGTTAAAACTAGTTGTGAGACCCTGTGTGGGTGCTGGGAATCAAACCCTTTGCTTTCAACCACTGAGCCATCAACCCCTTGTGAGCATTTATTCTTTACTTCCTAGTGTAGTTATAAAATATCACTGCAACTTAGAATATTTTTTTGGTTTTTTAAGATGGTTTCTCTGTGTAGCCCTGGCTGTCCTGGAACTCTCTTTGTAGACCAGGTTGGCTTTGAACTCTCAGAGATCCATCTGCCTCTGCCTCTCAAGTTCTGGGATTAAAGGTGTGTGCCACCACCACTCAGCTAGAATACTTTATTTTACTATCTGGAGGTAGCTTTATTGCCTGAAAATCATCATCTTTGCTGTGGGATCCAAAAACAGCCTTTATTTATCAAGGAAATTAGATTTAGAAGGAGAATTGGATGTGGGTACTGTGCCCAAATTGTTAAATAAATTGTTCAAGAGCAAGTGGTTTTGCATTTAAGTGGAAGGTAACTGCTTTCTTACTCTTTTTTCTTTCTTTTTTTTGAGACAGTCTCACTGAGATACTAAGGTAAAAAGGGTGAGAATAGTACTAAGAACCAAGTATTCCCCCCCTCCTTTTTTTCCCCTCCCTATTTTGAAACAGAGTTTCTCTGTGTAGCAGCCCTAGCTTTCCTAGAACTCCCTCTGTAGACCAGGCTGGCCTCGAACTCACAGAGATCTGCCTGTGTCTGCCTCCCGAGTGCTGGGATTCAAGGTGTGCGCCACAATGCCTGGCCAAGTATTCCATTTTGGTTTTTCGAGACAGGGTTTCTCTGTGCAAGTATTCCAGTTTTAAAAAGACAAAAATCATTTGTGTATAGTGGCTCACACATATAATCCCAGCTCTTGGTAGGTAGAAGCAAGAGGATTAGTTCAAGGCCATCCTCCCCTGCATAGCAAATTCAAAGCCAGTCTTGTCTGTATGAGACCCTGTCTCAAAAAATAAAAAAGGAAAAGAAACAACTTAAATATGAGAAAGACAACATATGTGATATGGAGCACATATTGTTGTAAGAGTATTAGTTTCGCCAGATGGTGGTGCACGCCTTTAATCCCAGTACTCTGGAGACAGAGGCAGGTAGATCTCTCTGAGTTTGAGGCTAACCTGGTCTACTGAATGAGTTCCAGGACAGCCAGGGCTGTTACACAAAGTAACCTTGTCTCAAAAAAGAAACAACAACAACCAAACAGTGAGCCACATGTAATTTGTTTTGAAGCAGCAGTTTCAGTAAGAAATAATTCTAAAGTTTGCATATTAATTGTCTTTTTCTCTCCGTTCTGTAAGAAAGTTTAACTGAAATTTAAACCATAAAGCATTCATTTATATCACTATTGCTAAGATTTGAAACATTCTTTCAGCACAAGGACATTGGAATTTTAGCAAATTGAAATTTGTCCAGAATTTACAACAAAAATCTGTAGTCTCTGAAGTAGATGGGTTCTTTGAGGAAACTTTTACTGGTTCAAGAAGAGAATCCCAAGCCAGGCGTCATGGCAGGCAGATCTCTTGTGAGTTTGAGGCCAGCATGGTCTACAGAGTGAGTTCCAGGACAGCCAGGACCCTGTCTCAAAACACTAAAAATATAAAGAAAAGAAGAGGAGAATCTGTCTGGTTCTTTTGTAGCTTCTTTCTTTTGTAGCTTAGAGTACTTGATAAAAATTAATATTTTGCATATAAAAGTGCTAGTAGGTTCATCCTTTACTGGAGAATATTATTATTATTAATTATTACTATTATTATTTGATTTTTCAAGGCAGGGTCTCTCTGTGTAGCCCTGGCTGTCCTGGAACTCACTCTATAGACCAGGCTGGCCTCGAACTCACAGAGATCACAGAGATCTGCCTCCTGAGTGCTGGGATCAAAGGCATGCGCCATCACCAACAACACCCCCGAGCTAGGACAATATTACTATATTCCTTTTGGCAACACAGTAGACTCTTAGGAAATGCCATAATCTCTACTGTTTAATTGAAACAAATGACTTAAATCATTCAGTTTTCATCCCCATCAACAACTCCATCCTCTTCCATTATCTCTTTCCCACCCTTCTCATTTAATCTTCATAGAAACCACATTCTCTAGTCTGACTGGTTAATATTACATCTAATGGAATCTTTAAAAGAGATCACATTCTAATTCAGTACAATATAGGAGCCACAATCTGTAGTAACTGAGTATTTTGAAGCTTTTTCTTACAGGGATTCTAAGTGTGTTTCACATCATGTATACACACACAAGACAAGTGTACATTGAAGTCGTTTGAAAACTGGCACTGAAAGAGGCCTGGGTCAGTTCTTAAAACATTCAGAATACCTTAACCACTGTCTGTAACTCACACACACATAAAATATATTTATTTATGTATTGAGAAACTGGGCTTCACTATGTAGCACTGGCTGTCTTGGAACTCACTGTGTTCGTCTAGAATATTCAGACTCTTACTTACTGAGCCATCTTTCCAGCCATCTTGAGATTTTTCTAATTGAAGGTGAAGGACAAAAGTAGGTGTTGGGGTTTTTTGTTTTGTTTTGAGATAGTGCTTTACCATGTAACCTTGGTTAGCCCGGAACTTGCTATGTAGACCATGCTGGTTTTGAACTCAGATCCACTTACCTGTCTTCTAAATGCTGTAATTAAAGGTGTGTGCCACCATGCCTGGCTTAAGGCATTTTTAAAAAAACTTTATTATTATTGTGCATGTTGGGGGCTAGGAGGGCACAGAGATCTGCCTGTCTCTGCCTCTGGAATGCTGGGATTGAAGGCGTGTGTACCCAGCTACCTAAAAATAATTTTTTTTTTTTAATTTTTTTTATTTTTCGAGACAGGGTTTCTCTGTGTAGCTTTGCGCCTTTCCTGGGACTCACTTGGTAGTCCAGGCTGGCCTCGAACTCACAGAGATCCTCCTGGCTCTGCCTCCCGAGTGCTGGGATCAAAGGTGTGCGCCACCACCACCCGGCCTAAAAATAATTTTTAACAGTGTCTGTTTTTGACAGAATCAGTCACAGTTTTTCTGGTGTTGAAGATTTCACACAAGAAAACAGAGAAGTGTGGTAGAAAATAAAAGTAGCTCTAGGATGGTGGCGTACAACTTTTATCTCAGCATTCAGGAGGCAGTGGCAGGAGAATCTGAGTTCAAGGCCAGACTGGTCTCCAGAACAGCCTGGACTACACAGAAAGACTCCGTCTTGAAAAATAAAAAAGAAAGAAAACAAAGAAGTTGGGAGCAAAGAATAAGTAAGATGAAGGAATTCCCTACATTTCCGTAAAGGGAACTAATTTGAGAGTCAGCTTAGATTTACAGAACCTAAGCATTTCTAATCTAGCTACTTAACCCTTT